TAAGTGGGAGCAATAGTGCCCCATCATTGGTGTCACTGATGTTAATGATGGGGCATTATTCCTCTCACTGACACCAATGATGGGGCAATATTCCTCCCCCCACTGACACCAACGATGGGGCACTATTCCTACCCCCCACTGACACTATTCCTACCCCCCACTGACACCAACGGGGGCACTATTCCTACCCCCCACTGACACCAACGATGGGGCACTATTCCTACCCCCCACTGACACCAACGATGGGGCACTATTCCTACCCCCCACTGACACCAACGATGGGGCACTATTCCTTCCCCCACTGACACCAACGATGGGGTACTATTCCTCCCACTGACACCAATGTTAGGACACTATTCCCCCCCCCCGCCCACTGACACCAATGACGGGGCACTATTCCCCGCCCACTGACACCAATGACGGGGCACTATTCCCCCCCCCACTGACACCAATGACTGGGCACTATTCCCCCCCCACTGACACCAATGACGGGGCACTATTCCCCCCCACTGACACCAATGACGTACTATTCCTCCCACTGACACCAAAGATGGGGCACTATTCTTCCCACTGACACCAATGATGGGACACTATTGCTCTGACTGACACCAATGATGGGACACTATTCCTCTCATTGACACAAATGTTGGGACACTATCGCCTTACATGTTAACCCCTTCCCAGCTAGTGTCATTAGTACAGTGACAGTGTATATTATTAGCACTGATCACTGTATTATTGTTACTGGTGATGCCAGTGGCAGTTAGTTCCCCCGTCAGTTAGTGTCAAATTTCCCACTGCACTATTGCAGTCCCTTTTATAAGTCGCTGATCACCGCCATTAGCAGTATATAATTCCAATATATATATAAAATATATATACCATAGTTTTTAGACACTATAATTTAATGCAAACAAATCAATATACACTTATTGGGATTTTTTTTTACCAAAGGCATGTAGCAGAATACATTTATGGAAAAATTTGATTTTCTGAAAAAATCTTTTTATTGGATATGTTTTATAGCAGAAATTAAAAAATATTGATTTTTTTTTTCCTCAAAATTTTAGGTCCTTTTCACTTATATCACAAAAAACACATGATCAAATACCATCGAAAGAAAGCTCTATTTGTGTGAAAAAAATGATACAAATCTTGTTTGGGTACAGCGTTGCATGACTGTGCAATTGCCAGTTAAAGTAGCACAGTGCTAAATAGGGAAAAAAATGGCCTGGTCATAAAAGGGGTATAACCTTCCAGAGATCAAGTGGATAAAGGGTATTTAACACTCAGTACATCCCTGGGAAGCGGAGTATTATGTATTTCTACCTCTCTTGGCATCAGTGTAGATGATATCACAGTCTAAAAAGGAAACAGCTTGAATAATACTTTCTGTAAATTTATATTCCACCTCTTCCCTGGAGTGAGATCATTCATTTTTCAGATTTCTTTTCCCAGGTTCCAAAACAAATGATAAGTTTCAAAATAAAATTGTTCTGTTGTAAGCTAATCCTGTTTTTATGGTGCATAGAAGGGCATTGCTAGATTTCTCAGGAAGACATTAAATCTGGACTCTAGGCAGACATCAAATATACACATCAGTGCAACTCTGTAATCAATACAGCATTAAATGTATTTTTTAAGTGCAGGCTGTGTAAGTACCTGAATTTGTCCTCCCATCACCTTCTTGCAGTCTGTGTAAGGCTCCATGTACACGGGACGTTTGGAAAACACTTCTGAACGATGGAAACTGACTGCTGGAAAACGTAGGTTAAAAAACATCTGTTAGCTGCGTTTGCATACCGTGTTTATGTGCATTTGCGTTTAGAAGGGTTTTTTAAAGATAACCTCAGGAGACCTTCAAAAATGCCCAGAATGCATTAAAAAACAGTAAAAAATTAACTATTTCAGACATTTTGAGAGAGATAGAGAGCAGAAGCAGAGAGAAGTATATGTTGAGATGACCTGTCTTTTCTGGTTGTATTCACTATGGATCCCATCATGAGCATAATGCAGCACGTTCTACCATTGTTTCTTTCATGCAAAACCTGGAACTGACTGCGCTGGTGTACCGGGTCCATTTGAATACATGGAAAACACTTGCATGCATTTCTGATGATGAAAAAAGGCTCTGGACAGCATCTGGATATGGAACAGTTAAAAAACACTTCTAAACACAAACACTTATAAACGTGGTTAGCAGCGTTTACAAGCGTTTACAAGCGTTTGTCATTTGAAACGCTTATAAAATCTACTCCTGAACGCAAGTTTGGTGCTTTCAAAAAAACGACTGTAAACTCAACTGCCTGTAAACGATGATGTGTACATGGACACATAGGAAAACAATAGGGAGAGTTCAGGAGCTGCTATAAAAAAAAAAGCAGAAAAGCTCCTGAACGTGAGTTTATCAGTTGCAGTGTACATGAACCCTAAAGCAGGGCTGAAGTGTGAGGAAGTGGCAACTCTGTTCAGTTTGTCTTAAGAAGCATGCTGATAGGAGGAGAAATCAAGGTTTCAGCTGGCTGCCTTTGGTGCTTTCAGGAGACACTAGTCTTCATCCAGCCTAAGCCCAGGTCCCCTAGTGCATTCTGTCGTGATTTTATTAACATTAACTGCTCAAGCCCTGAAGAAGTGGGAGGCTTTTTTCCCCCAAAGCACGTTGGCTGTATTTGCTGCTCCTAACCATCAAATATTAAAAAAATGTCTTCAAGTGACATGAACTTTTGTACCAGGTGCTCCTCAGTACACATTCAAAAATTTACTGTTTGGCAAGCATTTCCTTTGCCACTATCAGAGCGATAGCTGTCTAGGACCAGAACAGTGGCCACCTATACTATATTTCAACAATGCATCTGTTTTTTTTACAGAAAAATCATTTTGCAGTGAATACATCGAAACCAACGTTGGCCCAGCACTATCATACACACATCAGGCAGTCACATGCTGGGGCAGGGTCAGTATGACTTGGGTTCAGAGGAAGTGGGTTGAATAATGCAGGCCGTTAGACTGAGGACATCTAGCTGAAGAAAAAAGTACTGCAGTGGAAATCTCTGGATTGTATCGAGATTTTGCACCAAAAACTGTTTTTTTGTTATTTAACCTTTTAATGGTCTATTCATTTTATGTTTGTTGCTTTTGGATTTTTTCATCATTTTGTTGTAATGTTAGGATGACACTCCTAAGTGAAATAATGTGCTGGCAATATGGACCATAAATTTCTGTACAAAAATACAAACCTGATATCGCAGACAAAAAAATGTTGTTACATTTACATGAAGCATTTAAACATTTTTACCAAAGGTGAATGATCTCACCTGTACATTACAATCCAGTATTAGAAACATATTCCTTTTAATACAGAAGTCTAAGTGTGCAGCATATCCTAATCATGATGTTCAGCTGCATCCAGTATGGACTTATGCTGGCTATATATGTGACACAGGGGTGTCAAACTCAATTTCATTGCAAGCCGCATCAGCAATATGATTGCTCCCAGTGCTTATCTGTAAGGGTAGATATTCACCCCCCCCCCCTCGTTAAATCAGATGTCCAGAGCCCAGTGTTCCCCCTTTACCTTGTGCTGCTGCCAGGATGAAGCTGGGATTGTTTCTGGAAAGTATAAAGTGCAGGGTCCGGAGGAGGACCAGAGGAGGGCTGAAGTCTGCTGCTGGAGTCTGCTGAATGCTGAGACTAGGGAAGGTGGAGATGTGGGGGTGCTGTAGCTGCTCACAGAGAAGTGCAGGATCTGTAGGAGGAGTTCTGTTCTCCTGTCCTCTGCTGACTGTTGAGACAGAGGGGGGCACAGATGAGCCTCTCTGCAGCTGCACAAAAGTGCAGGATCTGGCGGAGGAGTTCTGTCCTCCTCTCTGCTGCTGACTGTTGAGATAAGGTGGGGGCAAAGATGAGGGGGGTGCCATAGCTGCAGGAGTGGTGCGAGGGCCACATGAAATGACCTAGAGGGACGGATTTTACCCACTGGCCTTGTATTTGACACACCCCAACCTGATGTAACATTACATTTGTGACATAACAGTCATTTTGAAGAAAAAAAAATACTCAGGTATGAATTATTCTAAACAGTACATTAAACAAAATACAGATCTTTTAAATAGAAGTGCAGCAATCATTCCTGATGGAAGATCTAGCTCAGCGGTTCTCAACCTGGGGTCGCGACCCCTTTGGGGGTCGAACGACGCTTCCACAGGGGTCGCCTAAGACCATCGGAAAACATATATTTCCGATGGTCTTAGGAACCGAGACACCGCTCCTCGCCGCCGCTGCCCTGCCCCACCGCCGTCTCCAGGTGTGGGCGGGAATGACATGCCGCCCCTGTCATCTGGACACACCTCGAGATCAATCCTCGCCTGTGATTGGCCGCCGGCACTGTAGCTCAGGAGAGGCACACAGGCGGCCAATCACCGGCAAGGAGGTGGAGCTTGGAGAGGAGGAGCCGAGCGGCACCGCGAAGATCGCGCGAGTGAAGAGGAGGAGAGCGGCCGGAGAAGGAAGACATCTGACAGGTAAGTGTCGGTACCCATGGGAGAGGGAGGGAGCGAGCGAGCCCCAGGCTGGAGCAGGGGTCTGCAAGGTAAGTATCATTGGTGTCAGTGGGAATAGTGCCCCATCATTGGTGTCACTAATACCAATGATGGGGCACTATTCCTCCCACTGACCACCAACGATGGGACAGTATTCCTCCCACTGACACCAACGATGGGGCACTATTCCTCCCGCAAATGACACCAACGATGGGGCACTATTCCTCCCCCAAATGACACCAAGGATGGGGCACTATTCCTCCCCCAACTGACACCAAGGATGGGGCACTATTCCTCCCCCACTGACACCAAGGATGGGGCACGATTCCTCCCCCCACTGACACCAAGGATGGGGCACAATTCCTCCCCCCACTGACACCAAGGATGGGGCACTATTCCTCCCCCCACTGACACCAAGGATGGGGCACTATTCCTCCCCCCACTGACACCAAGGATGGGGCACTATTCCTCCCCCACTGACACCAAGGATGGGGCACTATTCCTCCCCCCACTGACACCAAGGATGGGGCACTATTCCTCCCCCCACTGACACCAAGGATGGGGCACTATTCCTCCCCCCACTGACACCTATGATGGGGCACTATTCCTCCCCCCACTGACACCTATGATGGGGCACTATTCCCCCCACTGACACCCAATGATGGGGCACTATTCCCCCCACTGACACCTATGATGGGGCACTATTCCTCCCCCCACTGACACCAATGATGGGGCACTATTCCTCCTCCCACTGACACCAATGATGGGGCACTATTCCTCCCACTGACAGCAATGATGGGGCACTATTCCTCCCACTGATACCAATGATGGGGCCACTATTCCTCCCACTGATACCGATGATGAGGCACTATTCCTCCCACTGACACCGATGATGGGGCACTATTCCTCCACTGATACCAATGACGGGGCACTATTCCTCCCACTGATACCAATGACGGGGCACTATTCCTCCCACTGATACCAATGACGGGGCACTATTCCTCCCACTGATACCAATGATGGGGCACTATTCCTCCCACTGATACCAATGATGAGGCACTATTCCTCCCACTGACACCTATGATGGGGCACTATTCCCCCCACTGACACCAATGATGGGGCACTATTCCTCCTCCCACTGACACCTATGATGGGGCACTATTCCTCCCACTGATACCGATGATGGGACACTATTCCTCCCACTGATACCGATGATGAGGCACTATTCCTCCCACTGACACCGATGATGGGGCACTATTCCTCCCACTGACACCGATGATGGGGCACTATTCCTCCCACTGACACCGATGATGGAGCACTATTCCTCCCACTGATACCGATGACGGGGCACTATTCCTCACACTGACACCGATGATGGGGCACTATTCCTCACACTGACACCAATGACGGGGCACTATTCCCCCCCACTGATACCAATGATGGGGCACTATTCCTCCCGCTGACCCAATGATCGGGCACTATTCCTCCCACTGATATCAATGATGGGACACTATTCCTCCCACTGATACCAATGATGGGGGAATTTTCCCCCCCACTGACACCAATGATGGGGCACTATTCCTCCCACTGATACCAATGATGAGGCACTATTCCTCCCCCACTGATACCAATGATGGGGCACTATTCCTCCCACTGACACCAATGATGGGACACTATTCCTCACACTGACACCAATGATGGGGCACTATTCCTCCCACTGATTCCAATGACGGGGCACTATTCCTCCCACTGACACCAATGATGGGGCACTATTCCTCCCACTGACACCAATGACAGGGCACTATTCCTCCCACTGACACCAATGACGGGGCACTATTCCTCCCACTGACACCAATGACGGGGCACTATTCCTCCCACTGACACCAATGAAAGGGGCACTATTCCTCCCACTGACACCAATGAAAGGGGCACTATTCCTCCCACTGACACCAATGAAAGGGGCACTATTCCTCCCACTGACACCAATGACGGGGCACTATTCCTCCCACTGATACCAATGATGGGGCACTATTCCTCCCAATGACACCAATGACGTGGCACTATTCCTCCTACTGCAAAATTACAGTTATGAAGTAGCAACGAAAATAATTTTATGGTTGGGGGTCACCACAACATGAGGAACTGTATTAAGGGGTCGCGGCGCTAGAAAGGTTGAGAACCACTGATCTAGCTGAACTGTACAAAGCATTAATTTTCTTTATTGTGTTGACTGATTGTTTTAGCCCTAAAGATTGTTTGATTGTTAGCCATAGCTAATTGTTTACCATTGTATGTATGTTCATTATTAGGCTCCATGTACACGGGACACTTCTGAACAATGGAAACTGCTGGAAAATGTAGGTTAAAAAACATCTGTTTAGCTGTTTTCGCATACTGCATTTATGCGCGTTTTTCAGCGTTTGCGTTTTAGAAGCGTTTTTTAACCACCTTCCGCCCGCCCTTTAGTGCAATGACGGGCGCAAGGTGGTTCTCTCGTTCTGATTTGACGTCCTACCCATTCTCACTGCGCATGCGCGGCTCAGGGAGCACGCAGCGCGGCGATTGCCGGTCCGCTGTGTCCCTCGAACACAGCGGATCATGGAAAGAGCCAAAGATGTCGGCTCGGTCATGTGATCAGCTGTGTCCAATCACAGCTGATCACATGTAAACACGGAAATGTCGTTTATCGGCATTTCTCTCCTCTCGAGCTGTCATGCTGACAGCTCGAGAGGAGAGCCGGTAATCGGCTTTCCGCGGAGGGGACATGTACACTGATCATCAGGGCACTGATGGTCAGTGTGCCCTGATGATCAGTATGGTCCCAGAAGTGCCACCCATCAGTGCCAGTGCCCATCAGTGCCACATCAATGCCACATATCAGTGCATACCAGTGCACATCAATGCCACATATCAGTGCCCATCTGAGCTGCCTTTCAATGTCACCCATCAGTGCCAGTGTCAGTGTCACCAATGCAGTGCCGCCTATCAGTGCCAGTCAGTGCCGCCTATCAGTGCCAGTCAGTGCTGCCTATCAGTGTCATGTATCAGTGCTGCCTTTCAGTGCCCATCAGTGATGCCTTTCAATGCCCATCAGTGCAACCTACCAGTGCCTCCTCATCAGTGCCCGTCAGTGCCACCTATCAGTGTCCATCAGTGCAGCCTATCAGTGCCCATCACTGCAGCCTCATTAGCGCACATCAGTGAAGGAGAAAAATCACTTATTTACAAAATTGTATAACAAAAACTAAGAAAAAAAAATTTTTTTTTTTCAAAATTTTCAGTGGTTTTTGGTTTGTTTAAGAAAAAATAAAAATCCCAGAGGCGATTAAATACCACCAAAAGAAAGCTCTATCTGTCACAAAAAAATGATAAAAATTTCATATGGGTACAGTGTTGCATGACCACGTAATTGTCATTCAAAGTGTGACAGCGCTGAAAGCTAGAAATTGGCCTGGGCAGGAAGGGGGTATAAGTGCCCTGTAGGCTAGTGGTTAAAGATAACCTCAGGAGATCTTCCAAAATGCCCAGAATGCATTGAAAAACAGTAAAAAATTAACTATTTTAGACATTTTGAGAGAAATAGAGCAGAAGCAGAGAGCAGTATTTGTTGAGATTAGCTGTCTTTTTTTTTTGTGGTGTTTGGATGTGTTCAGCTCATTTCTGTGCAGAAATTATTGCAGCAGTGTCTAACATATTTTCTTTTATGCAAAACCTCAAAGTATGGTGTACCAAGTCCATTTGCGTACCGGAAAACGCTTTGCATGTATTTTTCATAATGAAAAAAGGCTCTGGACAGGATCTGGAAATGGAAGGGTTAAAAAATTTTTTCCCAAATGCTTATAAACGTGGTTAGCCGCGTTTACAAGCTTTTGAAACGCTGATAAAATCTCCTAGAACCTCGTTCCAGCATGCGTTCCAAAGGGCAGAAGTGACGTCGTCGGACGTTGCATCATCAAACCTTGACGCGTTTCGATCAATAGACCGTCGTCAGGAAGTGCCACTTGAATACTGCCTGTGCAGCATAGAATACATAAAGGTAATAAACCTTGAGCCTTTAGATCCACATTAAGGCTACACTCGGACTAGCCTCCTGTCCTTTGGTTATCTAGGATTGTATAAACAACCACTATGCTTTCCAGAACAAATTCTCCTGCATTTTATTATTATTATTATTATAATAATATTAAATTTTTTTTTTAGGTTTACTGGCATTTATTTATTCTGCCCTGGACACAAAACGTTCTATTTTCTTTAAATGGAGGTAACTGAAATCACAGATACACTTATAAACTCTCAGTGTGAATTATACTATTTAAAATCATTTCATGCATTTATATGCTGAAGTACAGCGTTATTTTAAGGTGCTTTAGAATGGGACAGCTTGGCCTAATTTCTTGTGTGCACAGTATTGTGAGTTCATATGAATAGAGATGAGCTTGGGCAGCCTCTGAATTCATTTCTAGCTGAACTCCAAACTCGCATTCTGTTTTTACTCCAGCGAGCTGTGGGTCGGGAAAGACCAGTTCAGAATGACCAGAAGTTCAGATTTCAGATGAGTTTAAAGGATACGTTCACATTTGGGAACATGTTTCATATTCCACCCGTTTTTAGAGTGCACATGTAACGCGCTCCCACTGTTATAGCTTCTCTTGAATTCTCTCCTCTTCTAGTGACAGTGAGCCGGGGATCTTCTCCCAACACTCGCTGTCACAAAAAAAAAAAAAAAAACAGAGCTGTGTGGGGCTTCGCCCGCCTGGCCACGTCATTCATTCACAGAGTTCTGTGAATGGGAAAACTACAACTGCTGTCAACCTTTTGCCGTTGATGGCTTGTAGTTTTCAGTGAACTACCAGAGCACTAGTGAGCACTCTAGGTAGTTCATTGCAAGACATTTTGTTCCCCTTTTGGTTATATTGGGACTTTTCAGGCAACATGCACAAAACTATATAAACACATTCATTTTATTACAAAAGATTAATACATCATTGAATCAACATGTACAAACAGCTAAAATCAACACGTAAGGATGGTGACATGAGAACATGCTGACTTGCTGTGAGGTAATGTTCTCCCTCTTCAAATTGACCAAGGAAGAAGAGAAAGGCGAGTAGACTTCAGCTGGAAACCCAACACGTTTCAAAACTCAGTCTTTCCTCAGGGGTAAGCTGAAGAAAAGGGATAGCCAAGAAGCATTCATCCAACTCCTTTTAATGAATTTACTTGCCATAATTGCAAATCTTCTATTAGTGTGTCCACCACCACCACACTCAAGGCGCCCCAAGCTGGATGGGAGCAAAGCATGGGGAGAGCAGGGAACCCCCCCCCCCAAAAAAAAAAGAAATTTCTCACACTGGGGTCTCCCAAGGAGACAACGGAACCAAGTCAGCGGCTATAATAGAAAGGTGGGGTGACCCTTGGATGATATAAGGTCACACCCAATAGATACAAAAGTGCCAAGTCCAATTATAGACTATTTGTGAAAGAAATTGTGAGAATGGACTTTCTAGGCACAAAAACTCGGTACACAAGAAGAGAAAATCAATGTTCCTTTATTCAACATCACATCATATTTAGAAAGTATCTGATAAAATATTATTGTACATTGAACCCACAGTGAATGTCCCAAGACCCACCAAACAGTCGTAATGACGGCAAACAGTGGTTACAGCTAGAGATGAGCGAATCGAACCAGGCGAACCGGAATTCGATACGAATTTCAGGAAATATTCGATTCGCGTCGAATCCGAAATTTTGCCTACTTCGGGTGCGCGAATCGAATATTTCCCGATCAGCCGGCAAAAGTGTCCCTGCAGTGAGCTCCGCTATTTCTGACAGTTCTCTGACAGAAGGAACACATGTTTAGCGGTTGAAACATTGTATCTATTAGTTTCCATTTAGGATACAGATGTTTCAACCGCTGTACATGTGAAGAAGCTGTCCGAGAACTGTCAGAAATAGAGGAACTCTGCACATACACTTTTTGCCGGTTTGGAATTCTTATTTTCATCCTACTTCTTCTTCTTCTACTTCTTCATCCTCATCCTCAGAAGAAGAAGAAGAGGATGAGATGAAGAAGAAGAAGAAGAAGTAGGATGAAAATAAGAATAATTCCAAGCCGGCAAAAAGTGTATGCTGCAGATACACTTAGAGGAGCTCTGCAGATACACTTAGAGGAGCTCTGCACATACACTTTTTGCCGGCTTGGAATTAATCTTATTTTCATCCTACTTCTTCTTCTTCTTCATCCTCATCCTCAGAAGAAGAAGAAGAGGACGAGGATGAAGAAGAAGAAGTAGAAGTAGGATGAAAATAAGAATAATTCCAAGCCGGCAAAAAGTGTATGTGCAGAGTTCCTCTATTCTGCAGATACACTTAGAGGAGCTCTGCAGATACACTTAGAGGAGCTCTGCACATACACTTTTTGCCGGCTTGGAATTAATCTTATTTTCATCCTACTTCTTCTTCATCCTCATCCTCAGAAGAAGAAAAGGACGAGGATGAGGATGAAGAAGAAGAGAATAGAGGAACTCTGCACATACACTTTTTGCCGGCTTGGAATTATTCTTATTTTCATCCCTACTTCTTCTTCTTCTTCCTCATCCTCATCCTCATCCTCTTCTTCTTCTTCTGAGGATGAGGATGAGGATGAAGAAGAAGAAGAAGAAGTAGGATGAAAATAAGATTAATTCCAAGCCGGCAAAAAAGTGTATCTGCAGAGCTCCTCTAAGTGTATCTGCAGAATAGAGGAACTCTGCACATACACTTTTTTGCCGGAAACCGCTGTATGGAGGGAATGTCCCAGAACTGTCAGAAATAGTCTATTTCTGACAGTTCTGGGACATTCCCTCCATACAGCGGTTGAAACATTGTATCTATTTGTTTCCATAAATGGATCCATTTATGGAAACAAAATAGATACAATGTTTCAACCTCTGTACGGAGTGAATGTCCCAGAACTGTCAGAAATAGACTATTTATGACAGTTCTGGGACATTCCCTCCCATACAGCGGTTGAAACATTGTATCTATTTGTTTCCATAAATGGATCCATTTATGGAAACAAATAGATACAATGTTTCAACCGCTGTATGGAGTGAATGTCCCAGAACTGTCAGAAATAGACTATTTCTGACAGTTCTGGGACATTCCCTCCATACAGCGGTTGAAAAAAGGCCGCTGTATGGAGTGAATGTCCCAGAACTGTCATAAATAGTCTATTTCTGACAGTTCTGGGACATTCCCTCCATACAGCGGTTGAAACATTGTATCTATTTGTTTCCATAAATGGATCCATTTATGGAAACAAATAGATACAATGTTTCAACCGCTGTATGGAGTGAATGTCCCAGAACTGTCAGAAATAGACAGAAACTGTCACAGAACTGTCCTTCTTCTCATCCTTCTCCTTCTTTTCATCCTTCTTCTCATCTTCTCTCCTTCTTCTCATCCTTCTCCTTCTTCTCATCCTTCTCCTTCTTCTCATCCTTCTCCTTCTTCTCATCCTTCTCCTTCTTCTCATCCTTCTCCTTCTTCTCTCCTTCTCCTTCTCCTTCTCTTCTCATCCTTCTCCTTCTCCATCTTCTCATCCTTCTCCTTCTTCTTTCCTTCTTCTCATCCTTCTCCTTCTCCTTCTCCTTCTTCTCATCTTCTCCTCCTCTTCTCATCCTTCTCCTTCTTCTTCAAGGCTTCTTCTCATCCTTCTCCTTCTTCTCTCTTCTCATCTCATCCTTCTCCTTCTTCTCATCTTCTTCTTCTCCTTCTCCTTCTCCTCCTTCTCCATCCTTCTCCTTCTTCTCATCCTTCTCCTTCTTCTCATCCTTCTCCTCCTTCTCTCATTTCTCCTTCTTCTCATCCTTCTCCTTCTTCTCATCCTTCTCTTTCTCCTTCTTCTCATCCTTCTCTTCTCCTTCTTCTCATCTTCTCCTTCTCCTTCTTCTCATCTTCTTCTTCTCATCCTTCTTCTCATCTTCTCCTTCTTCTCATCTTCCTTCTCCTTCTCATCTCATCCTTCTTCTCATCCTTCTCCTTCTTCTCATCCTTCTCCTTCTTCTCATCCTTCTCTCCTTCTTC